TGAAATTTTTGAGTAACTTTTCCACCATATCGTTTAAGAATTTGACGTTTAAACTAGCACCTAAGTTCGAGCTAAGATGGCAGGCCGCTCATAATTTTGAGAAACCGTGGATAGCTTGTACTATACACTGCCAACAAAAAGATTCGTCTACTATCGACGCACTACGCTTGAAAATGCTCAACCTTAATATTAATCCATACTTTCCAGATGGAACGTGGTGTCATGAGAAGATGGCCAGGATTATTATTGCCGACAACATTTCTGTCTGCCTGAAAGCTACTCTTAAAAATTTTTGAAGGATAATCAACATGTGTAAACAAGTATCAAAGAAAAAGAAAATTATAAAATGCGCGTAAATCAGTATAGAAAAGTTGGTCAATTCGTTTGGTACCGAATTTTCGATCGCACAATCTGTCGTGTTAACATTTGTTTTGTGTATCATCTATACCTTGTTTAATGGAGTCAATAAATTACGTCAAATTATAATATCTAAATCGAATTTCGGCAATTAGCATTAGTAAAAACATAATAAACAATTTAACAGATAATAATTAATATGTTTGCAAAAAGAGAAACTAAATAGCTTAATAAAATAGAGATACTTTTATTTCGTACCACACAATTTGTAAAAGAAAAAAAATCCTACGAATGCGATAACGTCACTCACTATGTAATTTAATAGTCTATTAATGTTTCATTAATACAATACTTACATAAGATCGATTAATAAATAAAAAAGTGAAGAAAATTTTATTACAGAATTTAATAATTTTCAAAATTATATAGTACAAATTGTTATTTATTTCTTGAATACATTAACTCGGTAACCGAATACGGCACGTCAGAAATCGAAATTTCACAATATACTTTCTAACTTAGTATATCGGTAAGCAATTGTATTTTCCTTTTATATAAAATTTGACATTTATAACGTAAATTGCGTTAGCAATGTTATGTTATAAAAATTCTAAAATTGTCATTAATTAAATTTTTTTAACGTTTATAAATAACTGTCAAAATGTTTGTGAATAATGTGGCATATTCTACATATCGATCATAATTCGATTTTTCTAAAATTCCACCATTCCGTAAGTATTATATACAATAATATTTACAATTAAAAACCAGAAAGATAAAAAAATATATAGAGGGTGTCCCAATAAAATGTATATACATTTTATTATTAGATATTTTAACAAAATGGACAGATGTTAACTTGTGAATATATTTCGTTGAGACACGCTGTATATGTAGCATAAAGAGTATATACACAATAAGTGTCGCACGATACGAATGTTTTCTTAAGTCTGGATGTGTGATTTATACGCGATCAGAACATATGACAAACATGAAAGTATTATAACGTACGTATATCATAAGTAATTTGATGTGTAAAGAAGACGTTAACTAAACATTTTTCGGTAGTTATAATTGAAAAACGAGATAAACAACATGTTTTTCATGTTGAAGTTGGTGTTAATATTTTTATTAAACAATACGCAAGCGTATATCACGCAAGATATCGAAAGAATATTGCTGCCGGCATTGAATACGACAAAGACAAAGGAAGTACGTGAGTTTTACTGTATTGCTTTGTTCATTGCTCAATTATCAAAATATTATTATCAAGTTTTTTAAAACTCTTATATAATTTACAGATACCACTGACTTTAAAAGTTTTTGGAAAACAGATTAAGTTAAATCTGCGAAGAAACGACAAGAATGTATTGTCTACGTATAAGGTATGGAAACATGACGCAAAAGACATCACAATAGGATTGTCGGAATTACACGCATCGGATCATTGCTATTATTTTCACAAAAATCGTATCAGCACAGCGGCCATAAACGTTTGTCAGAAATATGGATGGGTTAGTGTCACATGAAAAGCAAATAGCTATTACTTTTAATTTCAATTTCTCTTTGTTTTATATACAAACATGACTTGCAAGAACTAAACATATATTTTTTTTTAAATAGGAAGGATTTGTTTTTCTCAAAGACGACACATTAGAAATTAAAACTTTGCGAGATAACCATGCGTCTTTGTCCTCACTCGACAATCTTTGCGTTAAAGAAGAAGTTAATATTTCATTTAGCAAACTTCATCTTATTAAAAGATCATCGCAACTATCTGCTGATACAAGTTTTCCAAATTTGGATAATTTTGTAATGAAGCAACGTCATGTACAAAATACGCAAAAAAAATTAACTATAGAACTGGCTGTTTTCTTAGACGAAACCGCATATCGTACGTTCATGCCTTTTCTGGGTGAAAATACAAATGTGTTTCGCATGTTGATATTAGCGTATGTGAATCGTATCCAAGCTGTGTTTTATCATCCGAGTTTGGGTGTTTCCATCGATATTTCATTGGTACATTTGGAAATTATGAAGAAACAACCGTTAAATTTGCCAGTTTTTGGCGGCGACGGTAAGAAGTTGCTCAATTCGTTTTGCAATTACGCAAAAACTCGCAATCCTCCAGACGACAATAATCCGCATCACTGGGACGTTGGTCTTTATCTAACTGGAATAGATATTTATTGGACAGAGCAAAACGATCTAAGTAGCATAGGATTAGCAAACCGCAATAGCGCGTGCAGTTTGACTACATCGTGTGCGATAGTAGAATTCGGCATTGCGGATCAATTAAACTCGGGTTTTTCATCGTCCCTCACGGCTGCTCATGAGATCGGTCATGTGTAAGTTTATATAAAAAGTTTAACATACAAATTAGTTTGACATACAAGTTTAAAAATGATAATATGCTTTATAAGAATTATTTGAATTGTTTAATTTACAATCAAAGGACAAAGAAACTTTTTTAAGAGATGTTTTCCTTTAACTGTTTAGTATGAATATTATTAATAAATATTAATATTAAAATATTTAGAATAATCAATGCAAAGTAGAGCACATTATCAAAATTAATAATTTATTTGTTTAAAAGTTTAGGAATGAAACACGATTCCAATTATATAAATCCATGTAATGCATACAAATACATAATGGCATCTGAGCAGTACCCTCAAGGTCAAATGACATGGTCCGAATGCAGTCGTGATATAGCTCAAAAACTCTGGTACGAAAAGGATTGCCTTCGAGATCAGACGAGACCGAAACGTCTAGGTGACACATCACTCGACCACTCACGTTATCACAATTTACCCGGAAGAAAATGGACCGCCAAAGCACAATGCGAAATATATTTTCGCGACAAGGATGCAAACGTAGTCTCGTTGCTTGATATATGCAAAACCTTAGAATGCGAAACGCCTCTCAAGAATGGGCATTACATCACTGGACCGGCGTTGGAAGGTACATTTCCTGTAACTGATCGCTGAACAGTTTATAGCTTAATTAATCTCATTTTTTAAGGAACTTATTGCGCACCCGGGAAGGAATGTCGTGGTGGAGAATGCGCACCCGTTATCGAACCACCGTACATTTTTGAGAATTGTGAAGATGATAACTGGAGTGAATGGAAAGAAAGCACCTGTCAAAGTATCTGCTTGGAGAAATCTAAAGGTGTAAAATACAAACGACGTTCTTGCAAACATGGGAGTCGCAGAACGGCGGATTGCAAAGGCAAATATTATGACGCGGTTTTGTGCGATGATACTTTACTCTGTAAGCTGAAACGCAAACAGATCGACTTTACAGCAAATAAATGCAGACAATTCAACTCTTTTGCAATTATACATAATATAAACTTGACGTTTGAATCGAAAATGAAGACAGAATGGCACGTCGCTCATGATTTCCAGAAACCGTGGAAGGCCTGTAGTATACACTGCCGACGAAAGGATTCATCTACTTTCTACACACCACGCTGGGAAATGCTTAGCATAAATATCGACCCATACTTTCCAGATGGAACGTGGTGTCATAAGAAAGATGGCCAGGATTATTACTGCCGACAACATTATTGTCTGCCAGCAAGCTACTCTTAAAAATAATTCTCTAGAGATTATCGTGTAAACGAAAATCGAAAGAAGAGAAAATGATGAAACGCGCGTATTTCAATTTAGAATAATTGTTCAATTCGTTTAATATCGAATATTTGATCGGTCATTCTGTCATTGTTAACATACGTTTTGCGTATCATCTATATCTTGTTTGATGGAAAGAAGTGGTCGAAGAATTACGTCGAATTATCAGCATTTAAAATTAATTCCGTCAATTAGCATAACTAAAAACGTAAAGAAAAACAAAAATTATAATAGATAATAATTATCATGTTTACAAAATGTGAAAGTTACGATAATAGCTAAATAAAGTAAAGGTACCTTTATTCCATATGAGATATTGTGTCGACAGATAAACGAGAACGATGACATTACTCGCCATGTTATGTATTTTAATAATCTATCAATGTTTCATTAATAATTATATATAAACAATTAATAAAAAAAGAAAAAAAAGGAAATTTCATTCCGTAAGTAAAAAAGTATTTAAACTTATTTTGTACAAATTGTTACTTATTTGTTGACCTTAGCTTGTTGGCTGATTGCGGCAGTAATGAGAGTTAGTGAGAGTTTTAATAGTCAATCAAAATTGGAAGAGATTCATGAGGAATGTTTTTTAAATCTGTCAGATATCTCTATTCCTAAAGAAGTACTGTTATTGTTGCAATTGGAAGACTTTTTCAATTTACCCATAACTGACAAAAAAATAATGGCAATACAATTTAAAAAAAGAATATTGAAAGAAGTATAGAGAAATGTAATGAAGATGTTCAATGTTTCGTGAGAAACAAAGCGATCTTAATTATATGTAGAATATTTCGATCTAACGCATGTAATAATAAGAACGACAAGATATTATACAATTGGCATACTAGAAAATTTATTAAAGAACATTCGGACGTTTTCTTTACAAGGGCTGATAAAAGGAATACCACTGTTGCCTTTAACAAAACAGATTATACTAATAAAATGCCCAGACAGCACACATGTCCAAAATATATCCGAAGGATATTCAAAGGATGTCCTGTTGTCCTAAAACCATCTTCGGAATATCCTCTGGACGTATTTTGGATATGCTGTGCTGGAGGCACTTTGGGTGATGAAGATGCTCTCGGATATTGATACGTACCAAATAGTAAAGAAAGATCCGACGAGAAATATAACAAAAAACTCACGATCTCTATTCTCCAGGTGAAAGGAAAGAGGTAAAATAGACAAATTTAAATACAAAAGTTTAATGGAAACGGATGGGGATTTTCCCCAAAGCGTATGGGTTGCCAAAAAGACAGATTACCTATTAAGAATAATAATTTCTTTGTTAAATAGCCCACTATATAAAATTGCAATCTTTACATGTAAAGAATAATTGTTTGACACTAGATTTAAACTTATGTTTGACGCCAGCAGTGTAGTGCGGAGTGCGTGCAATAGTCTCGCACTCTAATTGACGAGTGTGCGCAGAAGTTTTTTTTATTATTATTGTTACGTCGCTATGGACAGAGTCTTCTTTTGCATTTTTGTATAATAAACTTTTTCGTTAACTTCTGTAGAGCGCACATTATTTAAGAACCTCTGAATGCATAAGAGTAATATTTAACAGTACCGAACATTCGTTAGAATGAAGTTTTACTCGTACTTCGATTCAATACCACATTTAAATATTGCTGCGTTTGATCCAAATATTTATACCATTCTTCCGGCCATGATGCTATCAATTTTGTTAATATTATCAGTTAATATTATTTTGTTAATAGTATCAAGGTTCGATTTATTCTTTCTACTGGTGTTGAGGCAATAGTCTTATCTTACACTGTATTTTGATTTAGATTATTTATATTGTGTAGCGCTTATAACGCACTCTCTTTTAAATGTGAGGAACTAATTTGTAACGCCCTCTCTCTCTCTGAAGGAGCGCGTGTATTGCGTCACGTAAAACGATACCCGTGTAAGCCAACAAATAAAGATTTACAATTACTACAAATTTTACACGAATTCTATCACCAAAAAATACACGGACAAACACGTCCCCCAACAACTGGACTGTTTGCTAGCGGAATGCCCGTGGTAATAAGTATGTACATGTTTAATATTTTCCTTTTGGCAATGTTCGCGAAACTCGTTTGATGTAAAATCAGTTCCCCTGTCCGAGATAATTCTTTTTGGATTTCCAAAAATAACGGCCAATTTATTTAATTTATCTAAAACTTCTGCCGAACTAGTTGATTGCGTCCCGAATAACCACACGAATTTCGAAAATGCATCTACGACTACAAAAATCTATCGATATCTTTTTGTAGTTGAAGGAAGTGGCCAAGATGACCATTATGATAAGTTTCGAGAGGCACATCACCTTTAAGTATAAAATTTAGATAGCCATCTAGCCTGTCTGCTTTTCTATTTGCTAAAATACAATTCACGCAATTTCGAAAAATTCTTTTGATCGTCTTACGCATGTTGAGAAACCAATAATTTCGTTTCATAAGCGCTTCTATTTTTTCGACCGCAAAGTGCCCATTTTCATGAACACGCATGATACTTGAGATTGTAAGCATTTCGGCACTACTAATTGTATATCGCTGTCGCTTTCTTTAAACAGTAACCCGCCTCTCACAACATACCCGTCGCATTGTCGTTTGTCCGCTAGCAAGTAAATATTTTGTAAACTCGCATCCTCTCGTTGAACCTTTCGAATTCTAGCAATAACACTTTTTTCTGACTTTATTAGCATACTATCTATTAGCATACTACATGGAAGGGAATATCGGCTTAGCGCATCTACATGTATCATATTTTTGCTTGAGCGATGTACTATAATATAGTTATATTCCTCAAGTAACAAAGCCCATCTGGCGACGCGAACACAAAGATCTTTCTTATTCATTGTCAACGAGAACGCCTGGCAATCAGTAACGATTTTAAATGTAATTCCTATGGAAAAATCCGTTCTTCAAATCAATCGTACTAAATACCGTAGCTCCTTGAAGAGCATCCAATTGATTGTCAATTAACGGAAGCGGGTATCGATCTTTTATCACTCTTTTGCCTAACTGCCTATAATCTACACACAAT